CCCCCCCCCCCCACGCATACCACAAGGCCTTGCAAATGCTTCCTTTCCTCAGTACTTCCTTTTTTTTTTAATTTTGTCTCCACTCACTCCTCTGTCTCCTCCCTGGGACCCTTTTTTGTCAACTCTGAAAGTTGTCTTCCTAAGCTTTTCTTGGAAGGATGATGATCTTGTTGGCCCATTTTTTGATGAGTTCTTTTCACCAATGTGCTGCCCTGGAGGCTGATCCAGTCTTACCACTTCTATCCCAAACCCCTTTTATATTTAAAAAAATCTATGAATACTTGCTTTCTATTCTGCTTTGTGTAATATGCCTAGTGTCTTAAACTATAAGCTGCCTAACAGACAGACTAGTATTATGCAAGACGTTCTTAATGTTCAGATTTTGGTGAAATGTTGGTATTTGGTGGTTGAAGGGATGGACATTATTTAATGTGGTAGTACTTTTGATACAGCTGGGCAAGCTGCACTTGACAAATCTGCGAGTTGGCAGATGGGATTTTTGTTTGTATTTAAAATCCCACGGTGCAAGAGAGTGAAATCAGAAGTGAGAGTAGCAAACTTTCTTTCAGCTTTGATCAGAAGATCTACACAAACGTGTTGGACATCAATATCCGTCCCGAAAAATGGGCCAACAAGAACTCGTCTGTCAGTGACATGTATGTCCAGAACCTAGTTATTGATGTCCAGGATTCTGAACCTAAAAAAGAAAAAGAAAAGGTGGCCAAAGAGCAACCTATATGGATGTCCCAGAGTACTGTAGAAGAAGCATCTTCAGCAGTTGATACCAATGCTGGTAAGCCTGAATGTGGAGAGCCTAATGCATGCATCATAGTGCCTTCCTTTTAAGAATGAGAAAAGTCTAGCTAAGAAAATGGTGTCATTAATTTGCCCCCTTTCAGCACTTCTGAAAATTGAGGTCTTATCTAGGCAACTAAATAAGGATTTAAGCATCTTTAGTCACCAGGTTCCTTTGTAATCTTTTGTTAGCTAACCTACATTTTGAAAATCTTTTAAATGCATCTCAGTGGTGTTTGAATGGTGTTTGACTTGAGCACTTAAATTTTACAAAGACTCTTAGTTCCCTAAGGTCAGCATTTTAGTACCACTGAGGTCACAAGCAGACTTGCTGTTTGAAGCGCTCCAAATGCCTTTGAAGCACCCAAAATGGCAAAGGTGCAAGGATGTATGGACAAAGACATGCTTCAGAAATAATCCTCAAAAAAAAAAAAAAGAGGAGCATCTCTGAAGCACTTGATTTCAGGCACTTCCTGAAATGTGATTCTCCAGCATATATACAGAGGTTTGTGAGGCAGGGTGTGGAGCTGTGAGAAGAGCCAATGAGTACTCTTTTGTGCACTTCTTTGGCCTCAGGAACCCCTGGAGACCAAGAGGCATGCAAGGATTCCTGCTCTTCAGGCCTCTGTCTGTGCCACTGCATGCTTTCATGCCTTTTGAAGCCCTTTTGGCTGGGGTGAGGGTATATATCTGAACAGCACAAAAGAAATCTGGATTTGAAGCAATCTAGGATCCAGAGCACTTCAAACGTACTTGTCCATGGCCTGATATCAAGAACTCATGCTTAGCTACAATGGGAGGGTAGGGCTAGGATTCAGAATGTCCTGGGTAGAGCAGAGAAATGGTCTACAGATGAGACAAAGGACAAGTGCCAAGTTCTGCACTTGAGACAGAATAAACCACGACTGGAGAATGACAGGCTAGGCTGCAGTATTGCAGAGAGACTTGGGAGTTATGGTGGACCACAAGCTGAATATGAACCAACAGTATGCTCTTTTTGCAAAAAAATAAAAAAATAAAAAGCCAACAGCATACTGGGCTGTATTAACAGGAGTGTCCCTTGCAAATCAAGGGAAGTGATTCTTCCACTGTATGTGGCACTAGTGAAGCCTCACCTGGAGTACTGTCTAGTTTTGGGTCCCATACTTCAAGATGTGGACGGTATGTAAAGAGTCCAGTGCAGAACAAAAAAAAGGATCAGGGGCCTGGGAAGCAACACTTAGGAAAGGCTGAAAGAGCTAGAGTTATTTAGTCTGGAGAGGAGAAGACTTGAGGGGGGATTTGAAAAATCTTCGGCTACTTGAAGGGCATTTACACAGAAGATGGAGATGGGCTCTTCTTTGTGGCCATAGTGGTCAGGATTAGGTGCATCAGCCTCAAGCTATAGCAGAGGAAACTTAGGTTGGAGGTTAGGAGGAACTTTCTGACTATGAAAATTGTCAAGCATTGACACAGACTACCTAGAGAAGTTGTGGAATCTCCATCCTTACTTAACTTGATCATTCAAGAGCAGGTTAGACAGACACGTGGCTTCTGGGATGGTTTAGTCAGGTATGATCCTGCCTTGAGCAGGGGACTGGATTAGTAACTTCTGTGAGGTCCCTTCCAGCCCTACTTTCCTCTGATTCCTATGCATGTTCCTTAAGTTGGTTCTGTACATAACCACTGGTGGAAACTTAGGCATCAAAAATCTGTTCCCAGCTTGCTCAGAGCCCTGGCTCCTGCCTAAAAACCCTAATAAGATTAACAGACCAGATGTTGACCTCCATCTCTTCCCAGGGGATTCAATGTAGTAAGCACTCTCAGGGCATGCCTAGCAGATCAGGCTTCTTGCATGACAATTATAGCAAAACTTTAGGTGGTTATATAATCGTCATTAATGGTTACTCCCATTTAATCCCATTAAATGCAGACTCAAACGCACATAAAAGAGAGCAGGGTTAGTCCTGTGGTTTTGGCAGGCACATTAAGAAGTAAGAGACGCATTTTCAAATCCTACCCCTCTACAGGATTTGGAAAAGATAATTGTATCCACAGGCTGGCATATAGGGCACTTAACTAGGATAAGGGAGAGCTGCAATCAATAAATAGCTAATTCCTGTTTATAAGCAATATTTATAGAACTGGAGAATTCCACTCCAGAACAGCTGGCAGCCAAATAGCTATGGTAGTTTCCTGGGATATGGGAGGCCTTAGTTCCACTCCCTGCTCCAAGTCAAGCAAAATGGAAATTTAAAAATGGGTCTCCCATCTCCCCAGTGAGTGTATGGTTTGCATCACTCTTCTGACCCTCCAGGCAAGAGTTCGTGACAGAATTCAGATCTAGATACCTCCCTTTTGCATGAAATAAGGTGACTTAATCACCTATATTGAGGGGTGAGGTCCTGATTCCTGCCCCTCCTTTTGGCATTTTGTTAGGATGAGCAACACTAGCTTTTGAGATGCCTGTTCTGAGGTGTCAAATTCTCCTTGTGTATTATTTAGGAAGCCTGAATGGCTGACTCAGGGTTAAGGATTCTAACAGGCAGTACAGTACGTGGAAGCTAAGCACAACTGTGCTGAAGTCCCTTTTGTAGATGTAGTAATAGAAACCAACAGTGGAAAAGAATCCATTTGGTGCATCCTATTTGTGAATGAGCAGAGAAGGAAAACTCTCGTTCGCTTCACTTGCACAATATGTACAAGCAAAGGAGTATTGGTCTTTTGCCATGCTGTCATGTCATAACTTGTTTATTTCCCCCTCTCCCTCTGTTAACAGAAACACCTAAAACTGATGAGAATGTTAAGGAAAGCATCACTGATAATGAAGTAATAAAGACTCTTCTCATCCATGAATCAAAGTCATCTTCTGGAACAAAGCATGTGCCACCTCTTGCCCAAAGCAAATGTCATGAGTCAGAAAGTGACACCAGTGAATCTGAGGAGGATACTAAGCATGTCAAACCAAGACAAGGAAAAGTGGTAGGCAGTGACTTAGAACAAGAGGAGCAGGAAACTGTGGATCCTACTGTAATGGTAGCTGGACAGCCCCACTTATATAGCGAAGTCAGTGAAAATCCTGAGCTAGTGTCATTTATGACAAGGGAAGAGAGAGAAGCTTATATCAAAGTGGGACAGGAAATGTTCCAGTCTGTCTTTGAATAGTCATTTTAATACACAGATATGCTGTGCATGTAAAGTAACATACAATCTGCATGGAAAGAATATGGACTTGGTGCTCTTGATTTTTACAGCAGAAATGTCAG